TTTGTCTTTTCTATAGGTTGTTGATCTTCTCAAGTTGTCGTTGATATCAAAGAATCCTTTGACAGATTTTGTCTTTGAGAAGAAGCCACGTGTTGATGATTTTAACCCAATAAACCAGTCCTGGCTCGAGAGAGGAGATGAATCATCTGATGAAGGTAGAAAGATAGTTGTGAGGGCACTGGTAAGAAAATCAAATGAAAAGATTGTGTTTGCCGATGCAGAGGAAGATTTTGCTGACTTGCTTTTTAGTTTTATGACTTTACCTTTGGGTGGAGTGTTGCATATGTTGGAAGGAAAATCTTCTTTGAGTCCTGATAGATATTTAAGGTCACAGAGAGTGAAAAAGGAACTAGTTAATGCTAAATGTGCCACTCAATTCGCCATCAATGGCCAGATATTACCAATTGGAGAGGTATCCTTGCCTAAGTATTGTTTCAATACTTTAAGGGATGGCCTTGTTGCTACTTCAACTACGCCTTCATTGAAGATTTGTGATCCAAAGTCCTGTATTGGGGATTCATGCAGTGGTAAAGGATTTGCCAAAGGACCATCAACGTTCATGGTGACAGATGACTTGGTTGTGACTCCGATGTCATCCATTTCTGCGGTTTCTTATCTAAATAGGTCACAAGTTCCTTTCTCAGACTTGGAGGAAAGGGTCATTAGCGTTGGTGTGAAGGAGGTAACACATCCTCTTATGCTGAGTTATTCATCACACACTATTACTTGAATCAAATAACAATAGTATATTCATGTCTGTTGATTTCATGGTGCAGGGATTGGCCATACTAAAAGCTTCCTTAACCTCAACATCTGCTTTGACACAAGGTCTCCAACAATTCACAAAAAACATTAAGGTGGAGATTTGATCAATTAAAATTTTTAGGTTATGATGTTATTTTGAAATGCCTACTTTTTAACATTGGTCTGACACTCTCTGGTTCAGTCAAATTTTCTGTTTGTTGTGTGAACCAATATTATAATGAATCTACTTTTGGCTTCATTTTCCTTAAAAATACTTGCGATGTACATTTTCTAATTGAATTGTTAACATGATAAAATCACTTTACATTTATCATCATTCCTCCATCTATCATTCCTCCATCTAGCAGCTAGGTCAGACTAACAAAAGTGTTATAGACCTCGACTTCTGATTGTATGTTACTTGTTATATCACATAATGTAAGAGTTTACATTTATTTTTATCATCTATTTTTTATATGATAAAACAGTATAATATATAACATTTGTTTACTTTTGCACATTTTATGAGAATTTTAAAATAATAATTAAATATATAAATATTTCCTTCGATAAAAGGTTCTTGAGTCTGTCATTTTATAAAATCTGATACTTTTTGGTAGGTATAAAATTTGAATACTTAATATTAATTATTTCGTGTCCCTCGAGGGGAGTCTTACACTGTTTTTGAATGTGCGTGGTCATAAAACACTTCAAATAATCGGTGAAAAATGTCACTACATTTGATAAATTATTTTTTTAAAAAAATATTTTGACGCTCTTCTTGTGCTATAATATTTTGTAAGAGTCTTTTGGATGCTCGTTAATTCGTAGTTATTGGTTCAAGAATTTGAAGGAAGCAGGTAATATTACTAATAACCATGCGCGCGTGATTTTTACAAATTGTGATTAACAATGTATGCATAGAGCTCTTATATATACCTCCTTAAAAAATAACGTAATTTTTTATTGTAATTAAAATTGATTTTAATCATAATTTATTTTCAGTATTTTATCATTTATTTTTCTTTTTTCTTGAACTCTTCACCTCTGTTTAATTTCGGCTAATAAAGAATATTCATTAAAAACATTTAAAATATACGTACAGGTTAACAAGATGAGAATACTTAATATTAAATAGAAGACATCATATATATATATATATATATATATATATATATATATATATATATATATATATATTCATGACAAGAAAATAATTATATATGTATTTATTATATTCATGCTACATAACTAGAAGTTGAAATATGATAGATCAGTGATAAATTATTTATATACATAAAGGTATTCATGATTTCGAATTTTCAAAACTTTGGTTATTAATCTGTTCTTGAATGCTTGTTATTATTTAAATATTTTTTAGCAAGTTAATATTAAAATAACAAGTCATTAGAATAAGTGATAAAATATTTTATCACAGCTCTATTTTTTTAATAGTGATTAATGCTTTTCAAATTTAGTTTTTATTAAGTTTGACTTTTCAATGCTCATATAATAGAATTTTACGTCTTTAAAATGGAAATTAATGAAAACTTAAGCGTTTAAAACAATTAAATTATTGATAATTTAAAAAACAAGAATATTGTGGTGATTCCTTTAAGAGGAATGTCAAGAAAACGTTAAGACTGGATTAAATAGAAGATAAAGAGTTTAAGAAGCTTTAATTACAATGGAAATATTATTTAAATATTTATTAATTTTTGTGATAATTTGTTCATTAAAAGAGTGACATTTAAGAATTCTAATACTACGTATATTTATGGTTATGGGTAGCAAAACCAAAATTTTCCTTTTCAAAGCCTAAAAACTAGAACAAGTGAATTTATCATCTATAATATTACACGAAAAGTTCTAATTTCAAACCATAATGCTCTCTATAAGTGGAGTTTGGCAGAGCTGACCTGTGATTGTGAAGCCATAGTAGCTGAAAATGTAACTCGATCCGGAGATCAAGATCACACAGTTTCCCTCAAAGTTCTGGTAGACAAAGAGAAAAACAAAGTTGTGTTTACTGAGGCAGGAAAAGATTTTCTGGATGTTCTACTGAGTTTTTTAACATTGCCTTTGGTGACTATTGCTAGACTCGTGGCTAAGGAGTCCAATCTAAAAACAATTAAAGTTGGCAGCCTGAGCACATCGTATGAAAGTGTGTCGCATCTTTAACAAAAAAATTTATGGATTCGAACGTACAAAGAAATGCTACTGCAACTAAGGAAGTCTATGGAAGATTATTGCGAAACAATGATGCTGAATATTGATGACACTGAGCCTAAAAGCACTACTTTTGAGAGATCTGGTTGAACTGTGGTTGTGGAGAATTAATGATCAGGATGGTGAGATCTTTTATTCAAACTGAGTTTAGAAAATTGCTTTGGGAAGGAATATGCGTCTTTTTAAGTTTCTGATGATCCTTATAAAATGCCTAATGTTTTTGGAGCAAATGAAAATCTGTTTTATAAGCTTGAAATTGAAGACATGGAGACTCTTGAGGAACAAATTGTGGGATATCACCGAGAAGGATGTATGACAGTTTTTAACTTAGTCTTTATACTTCCATTCTTTCTTTTCATTGGTTCGTTCGTTTTTTATTGTAGGTAGCTGACTTGCTCAAGTTTTCATTGATCTCAAGGACCCCTACGACAGATTTAATCCTAAGAAAGAAGCAATATCTTGGTAATTTTACCCCAATACGACCAAATATGTTTGAGATTGGAAAAATACCATCTGTTGAGGGTAGGCAAATGGTCGTGGAAATACAAATAAGAAAATTAAATGATAAGATTCTGTTTGCTGAAGCCGACGAAGACTTTGTTGACTTTCTTTTAAGTTTTCTCACTTTTTCTTTGGGTGGAGTGCTTCACATGGTTGAAGGATTTTCTTCAGTAAGCTGCATAGATAGATCATATAGGAGCCTGAATGAACTGAGTTCAGACAGATATCTAATTTCCCCTTGAACTTAAAGACAAACTAACTAGCCCTGTATGTGCTCCACATTTTAATCTCAGCAACCAGATATTACCAATTGGGGTACAAAGTTAACCTTCTACTGGAGAATATTCAAGTCCTTTTGGATTTGTGAAAGGATCAGTGATGTACATGGTGACAGATGAATTGGTTATGACTCCAATGTCCTCCATTAATGTTGTTTCATATCTAAAAACACTAAATGTACCACGTTTTGACTTGGAGGAAAGGGTCACTACAATTGGTTCGAAGGAGGTAAGAAACTGGATTTCTTCTTACTTTGCATGCTGTTATTTCTTGTATGAGATTACATCACAATCTTTGCTTGAATGATGCAGGGTCTTGGGCTATCGAAAGCTTCATTGACCTCAACATTTGCTTTGACAGAACGTCTTAAACACTTGATAAGACCCATTCCATCTTGTTTGAAGCTGTATACAGGATTCTAAAAGTGGTTCACCAAGTGCAATTTTGGCAACGATGTTTTTGGACTCTCTATGGTTGTATCACCAAAATTGTGGTTGCAATCACTTCATTTGTCCAAAGCTATCCTCTATGTCAAATATCACAACAAAGCTATTATGCAAACACAATTTAAATCTTGGGTTAATGAATATGGGTACTACAGAAGTCAATTCTAGATATATTAGAGACCTAGATTTATAATGTTAGTGTGCTTTGTGTTTGGTGGAATCCGTTTTATCAAATATATTATGCAATGTTTGGTGTAAAATATAATGCTATTAACGAGTCTTTTATTCTGTTTTACTAATAGATTTTAATGTAAAATTAAGCATGATACGTTTCAAGAGAAAAAGAAAATTAGAATGTGATATTTGAATATTAGAATTTTAAAGGAAAGAAAAGGGGTAAGAAAAAATGCACCCTTGAAACCTTGAATATATGTAATTTGATGTATATTAATTAATTAACTCACTATCATGAGTTCATCAAATCAACACAGATAAACATAACCAGTAGAAACATAAATATATATAACAAGGGATATAATAACATGGAATTGTAGTTAGTGGGACTAAGCGCGCACATTGTCATTAATAAGTAAATATGCTAATAATGATTTCTCTCTAAGCATTTATAAGAAAATAAAATAAGAATTAAAATCAACTTTTTCTTTTGTAATTATAACTTTTAAATTATACATGTAACATCCATATGTAGTAGCATTACACTACTAATTAAGGTATTAAGCATAAATCATCGCTGAAATTTATACATTGTATTTTACAATCATCTGAACAAAATATTCAGTCTTTCAAAAATTTAGAACTTCTTTTAATACTCAAAGGAATGTATAAAACACAACTATATAAATAGCAGTAGATACAACTCCTAACAATCTCACTGCTGCCCACCACTTCCACCTACCCCATCCTCTACTTACATATAACATACAATGACTCTGCAGGTGGGCGAACCACAACCAACACAGAAATAAGCTAGTATTATGATAATAGACCATACAAGATATAAATCATCTTATAGCAGAGGTAATTTCTCATCATTATAACCTGTCAATCACATATAACAAAAATCAAAATGTTTATACAGCACATGCACTCACTGGAATCAATACAAAACCACAGCCCACACGACTATCATTACCTAGACATTTGATTCTACTTCTGAAAGACACAAGTATTGAGTAAACTCAGAGATTTTGTACTTATCCTCCTATCCCACTCTCATGTAGTCCGCTCTTATAGGACTATGAACAAGAACTAATGTCCCCTTCAAGTACGACATGATAAATTCTTCTATCTATTTGATCATGTTTTATATCGAAACACCATAATCTTTCTCGACTCTTACAACTAAATATATCCTCTATGTGAATTGGATACTAGCAAAGTCAAGATAATCTCCTTAAACCCCTTCAATACCCCTAAAGTCATTGAGTGTAGTACTTTCTATCCGAAAAGCAACTACACTTCATACAGTTAGTTTCATACATCATATAGTTCAATTCTCATAGTAAAGCAATTATTTATACATGCAGAAATTATTTTATGCATATTTCTCATTTCAACAAATCCATCGCATGTATATGAAATCAAGAAATCCATCAAATGTATAAAATCTAAAACAATTTTTTTCCCATCATTCATACAATTCAAGTATCATGTACGTTTGCTTAATCAATTTATTCTATAGAAATAATTTAAAGCATATTAACTTCATATTTTTAATCATGGAAAGTCATTACACTCTTATCAAATACATTCAATACCTTCACCCTCCACCCTTCCTTGTTGCACTGTCCCTGTATCAAGTTGTTCTCCCCTGGTTGGACAATCTCGGGCTATATGTCCTCCTTTTTGACACCGATAACACTTCTTATCGGTAGGCTGCTGACAATCCTTTGCATCAAGTTGTTCTCCCCTGGTTGGGCAATCTCGGGCTAGATGCCCTCCACTTCGACACACATAACACTTCTTATCAGATTTTTTATCAGCATGACAATCCTTTACCATATGAGGTCCATCACAACGACGACACCTCTTCTCCACCACTTGGGATCTGCCATCATTTTCTCCTTTTTGTTGTTCTACTCCTGTAGCAACTGGTCCTTTCCTATTTGGACAAACTCTTGCGTAATGGCCTTCCTTCTGACACAGAAAACACTTCTTTTCTGCCGATTGAGGACAATTTCCTTGAAGATGTGACCTTTTACATCGATAACACTTCATACTCATGGATTGTGACCGCAAAGGTTGGGAAGAGGATGCCCCAGTCCTCTGATACGGAGATCTATCACATGGCTTATGCTGATTTGTCTTGGCCATCTCTCCTGAAGATTCTCCCTTCTGTTGGCAAACCACTCTGTTAGGCATAACTTCTGACCTCTTCTCTATTTTTGTTGTCTGTTCAAGAGGAGAAAACTCTCCAACACAGGGAACAGATGCAGGAGTGGTTACTTTTGCAGCTTCCAACTGTTGCATGAAAGTCCGATGACTTTCAACTATCACTGCATTTTGATGTTGTATAATAGCAGCCATTGTCTCTATGGCCCTTGCTATTCCATACATCTCAGAAGGCTGGGAAGAGACCGGAGGTGTAGGAGCCACAGCTAGTCCACACATCTCATAAGGTTGGGAAGAGGCAGGAGGTTTAGGAGCCATTGGTATTCCACCCATCTCAGAAGGCTGGGAAGAGGCAAGAGGTCTAGGAGTCATTGATATTCCACACATATCAGAAGGTTGGGAAGAGACAGGAGGTCTAGGAGCCATTGCTAGTTCACACATCTCATAAGGCTGGGAAGGGGCAGGAGGTCTGGGAGTCATTCCTATTCCACACATCACGGAAGGCTGGGAAGAGACAGGAGGTTTAGGAGCCATTGTCATTCCACACCTCTCATAAGGCTGGGAAGAGACAGGAGGTCTAGGAGTCATTCTGGTATCACATAAAGAAAAAGTCAGAAACTACTCTAACTTTTATACAAACACATATCACAACCATACAAACAAAGAAAAACAGAAACACAACAACTCCTGTTCTTGTCTCTATCAATACAAAAATCAATTTTTTTTCTTTAATTTTTCTTTCCTAAAAATGCGAGCAGAGGAACCATACAACTTATTAACTTACACACTCAAACTGCGTCCAATCTCGTAAGAGAGAAAGGCATCAATCACAGCATACTGAACCTGCTGTGGAGTGAGCCTGGGATTGTCCCACCAACTCCTCGTGATCCGTTTGGGCTTCTCAACCACCAAACCCAACACTCGGAGGCCCAACGACTTAATCCCAGCCCGGTTTAGTTTCGTGTCACGAAGCTTCTCGGCAGCGAGAGAGCGAAGGTCACGAATATTAACAACGCGGAGATTGTAGTCTCTTAGAAGCTTCTTGGCGTCATCTTCGATCCCGACGCCAAAGAAGGTGACATTGGAATCAGCGAGGAAGGAAACGAGGGAAGGAGGGATGGAAGGGGAGTGAAGGATCTGGAAGACGAGGCAGTGTTGGTCGAAGCATAGTTGGAGCGTGGCAACGGGGTTCTGCATGTTGCGCTGCGTGTTGGGCCGCCACTCGATATCCAGGCCCACCATGAGGCCAGTTTGACGGCTGTGGACGTTGGTGGAGATCCAGGAGTGGACGAGGGAGGGATCGGAGGTGAGGAGGGTGTAGATGGTGTGGGTTTGGAAAGTGACATCGTATAGGTTGTGGGTGTTGTAGGGGAGGCAATGATCCACCACGCTTATGGTGGCAACGTGGGTGCGGGTGTGGGTGGCTTTTACCGAACTGATCGGAACGCCTTTGTGGTCCAGCATCTCCGGCATGCTCTGAATTGGGGAAAAGTGGAGAGAGATATGGTTCGAAGCTACCTTTACAAATGATGATGCTTAGGGTTTATATAATTTTTTTACTTGTTAAACTTTTGATATTTAATATCTATTATTTTGAAATTTGGGTTTGTAACTGTTTTTTTCTTTTATATCTTTTATCTTTAGGGGAAAACACGATACATTACTTAAATTAGAAAATATTTTCTGAAATAAATTAATCAATAATTCTAATGAAATAAATTAGAGAATATTTTCAGAAATAATGTTGTGATATTTAGTTATTTTTTATTTTAACTTTATGACTAACTTTTTAAACATCATATTTTGAGAAAATATATAAAAAAATGAAAGGTTGAATTATGTAAGGATTTATTTATAAAAAATAGAATGGACTTTTAAGTGAAAGTTGGATATTTTATTTATAATATGTTGAACTTATAAAGAGAAATTTCTTTTTTTTTTAGTTTTATTTTATAAAAATTATAATTTCTTTAAATTTAGTTTATAAGACTAAAAAATTATAATAATTAAAATATACATATTTAAAATTATTTATGTAACATCCCAAAAATACAGTAATAAACCATATAATAGAATAATTACATTTAATAATCTCTCAGCTCAATCTTACGCTAATAAAACGTACACGCCTGGCCGAAAGGCCTTACAGAAAGTTACAACATATAAAAAAAATATAGACACAAGTTTGACCGAACGGTTTTTAAAAGCCAACTACCGAACGGTCATACAAAACTAAAGGATAAGGTGACTGAACGACCACCTTACCCAATAACCAAACTACTAGCCGAACGTTCCTACTGCTCGGTCTTCACTTCCACTTCTATCAAATTTTCCTCTTCCAGCG